CTTCCATATTTAAGGTCTCCAAATTTGAGCTGGATCAGACGGTGAGAAGGCCTTCAATCAGGGGTGAACTTCTGACGGTTTGACTCTGAGCTGAAATCTGGTTTTCTATCCATTTTGTTAAGTTTTTCCCTAAGTTACCTAAAAAGAGTCTTGAAACTACAAATACTAGAAAAACGTGATAAAGTATTTAAAAGCAATTAAAAACTATAAAAGTGGTCAAAATACGGTGTTATAATTACCACGGCCAAACATCAGGCCGTGCTTCCAGACCATGTCAAATCCCGACCATGACATTATGGGCGTGTCAAAGATCTTCATTGCTTTTCGTGGTCAGGTCCAAGGCCGTGCTTCAAGAACATGTCAAATCTCGAGAGTTGTCATATTATGCCACGGCCAAGCTCAGGCCGTGGCATTATCACCGTGTCAAATCATGACACTTAGCACCTTTTCCACTCTTAGACGTCTGGCTGATATGTATGTCTCTCGCCTTCCTTAATTCTCATCTCACGACTCCAAATCCAATGATTCGACCTGTTCTGGGACCGTGACTCGATCATCTCCAACTTTGATGAAAGGTTCAGGTTCAGATGACGTCGGCAAGGGCTCCGTTCCACCGGTTCTTTGATTCGCGTTGCTTTGGTCCTTTATCCGCTCCGAGACATGTACTGCTTCTTATCGCCATAACGTTCAGCTCAAAACTCCAAATAGGACGATCTAAACTGTTCTGGAAACTAGATTCGACGCAGAGCCGTTCCCAGAGATACGAAGCCCGTAAGCAAACTTTTAAAAAGGCCCTCATCGTATTAAATTCATATAAAATTAATCCAAATCGTATTGAATAAATAATAACTATCATCGTCTTAAGTCGTATAAAACCAATAATAAAAACATAATCCGAAAAAAGAATAACAAAACTTAAAACATAATTTTTCTTCCCTTCTTTGCAACAAACTAAATCTCATCTTTTCCAAAATAAGAAAAAAATATAGAGATTATCGTAAATAAAGAAAAGAAATTATTGTATTTTATTCCAAATAATCAGAGATATATAGTCAAGTCCAGAGTTAATTATGCTAACATTTAACCAATGTGGGACTTTTTTAAAAAAAAAGTTAAAAAAACATGGTAGTGACCAACATTAGTCATTAATCATTAACCTAATTTTTTTATTAGTTAGATATTGGGCTTAATATTCAATTAAAATCTGTTACACCTATTCTTTTTGGGCCTTCGATTTTTTCATAAAATTTGGGCCCGTAGGCCAGTGCTTCTTTTCCTATAACATAGGCACGGGCCTGATTCGACGCTCTTGATTCTTGGCAAAGACTCCGGAGGCTTAATTCTGGTGAAAGTCCTCCTAATCAGGTGATAATGTTGAGGGATTGTCGGCTCCATAACACTTGTCAGAGTCTGATGCACATAAGGTGATGGTCTCTCCATGGCTTTTGTCCCAATTGCTCCCAATTAGCTCCAAATGACCTGTAAACACTCCAAAAGTGCAAAAATCTCTAGGACCTAATGCAATTCCTAACTAAAGACAAAAGCAAAGACAAATATATGTAAAACTACCTAAATGTATGCATGAGACTCAATATTTGAACAAAAATGCAATCCTAAACATGACAAAATGTGAGTATATCAGATGTTGATGTGCCGGTTTTTTTTGTCTATCCGTCTTTTTTTTTTTTTCCAGTGCATCGTTGTGCTTTACACTTCACCCTCATCCTGATCTGGAAAATCATTGTAACGAAGATCTTTCAGCAAAATCCAAGGTACAACAAGCTTAACACTGGCCTGCAGACTTTGAAAGTAAGGATTCATTGCCACTATTGTTTTGCTTTTCATAGAAAGTTTGCACTTGTATCTTTTGTTTCTTCTACTGAAAAACTTTTCAAAACCAATATACCATGAGTCATGGCCATTAGATGATTTATTCGATTATTGAATGTCTTTCTCCACACTTCTTATTCTCCAGCTACCTCAATGAAATCTTCCTTGTCTCTCTTTCTTATATGGGACACGATGGTCGTAGGTCCCGATGGACGTATCAAAGAAGATGTAGAAGTCAAAACCGATTAGAAGAAGAAGATAATATATAAACCGATTAAGAAGGAGAAGATAATATAAGAACCGACAAGAAAGAAAGACACCTCTAGAAAAGGTCCAAAGAGGGAGAGAGGGCACGGATTAATCAGCGAAAGAAAAAGAACCATCTCTAAATACAATGTCTAAGTCAAAGGAACATTATTTATTGTGCTCACTAGCTCTATGATTTCTATTTCCTTGATGTTATGACTACATGTGAGAAACATTGTACTATTATGTGGAGAGTGGGACAAAGATTCAATATTTATAAAAGAAAAAAAAAAACAAGCGGGGGACATTGTTGATGGTGATGAACATAAAACATTTTAGTCTTATTCTTGACATTAAAAATATTCTAATAAATAATTTTTTATGTTCACTCAACAAGTAATATAATTAGTAGTTTAACCAGTACTTATAAACGTTATTCAACTTCAGTTTTTTATTGTGATCCAATTAATAAAAACTAATATTCAAATCACATTACCAATTATAAAAGTAAAAAACGATCACATTACCAATTATAAAAGTAAAAAACTAAAATTTTAAACTATGCATGCATGTGCAAGGCGCATGCAAACTAAAGGATTGTTATACATAGATATCATAGTTTCATGTTGATGTTTGCACGAAGATCAGAACTGACTAGAAAGAAGGACAATTTAGGCAAAGCAAGGAGAGAGTTCTGGCTAGGGAGAAAGATGAATTAAAATCTTGATAGCTTAATGTATATACATAATGATTATTTATAGATAATATAGATAGTTTACCTACACTCTTTTACCATAGTTTTATGCTCGTGTTTGCCAAAAAGATAAGAACCGATGAGAAAATGAATACTTTTGACAAATAGGAAGCGATTTACAACTAAGGATACTTAAAAAGTAAAATAATTAATAAATTTAATGTATATAAATAATAATTATTTTAGAGATGAAATTAAACATTGTATCAAAGCTATTAAAATGATTATTTACCTACGTTCTAATATCATAGTTTTGTGTCTGTGCTTGTAAGAAAGATAAGAAATAACATGAAAAAAGGACAATTCTAGCGAAGCATAGAAAGAGTTCCAGCTAAGGAAAATGAAGAATTAAAGTCATCAAACTTAATGTATACAAGTAATGAGTAATGACCATTTAGAGATGAAATTTAATTTGATATCAAAACTATTTAAATAATGTTTACCTATGTTCTCATATCATGATGGTTTTGTGTTTGTACTTGCGAGAAAAATAAAAATTGACGAGAAGAAAAACTATTTCCACAAAATAAGGGATTTACAGCTAGGAAAGCTGAAAATAAAATAATTGGTTATTATGTTTTTAGTTTTTTTTTTGGTTAATCATATGTCTTATTATTATATATATTCTTTTTTGGTTTATTATCAGTAATGAATTTAGTAATTTGATTATTTGATAAAACTTCTTCGTCCGCGTAAGGCGCGAACTAAACACCTAGTTAATTAAAATGAACTATCAAATGATACAAATATTTCACTAGGAACCACATTACCCATTCTATTAGGAACCACGTTCACAATGAACGATTCCACTCGTACCACACAGAGTAATGTCAGTGTGTCACAACATACTTATGTAGGTGAAAACAGAGCCCACACAAAAGCACATAGAAACTCCCGAAGGACTAAAGACAAACCCACTAACGGGTATCAACATTTCCTTTGAAGGGAAACAACTAAATCTCGAAACGAGGAAAGTCTTACAAAATCGGCTTAAAACCGCTGTGAGAGACCGCCTAGTAACACACCCACAATATCAGCTTAAAACCATTGTGGTCGTGTGAGCGTCGGATAACAGTTTGATTCACAAAGTTAGAGCCCAAGTATAAACAAGTCAATTTCTGTTAGTTCGGATATTTACATTTAGAAAGCATGAGTTTGGATATATATTCGCCCATTTTATCACGTAAAGAGATCTTTAACCAAAACCCATAGCTGAAGCATGGATAGGCGTTTTCGCATCCAACTTCCAACTAACCGATCCGAACTTTTTTTTTCGTTGAAACAAATATGTAGTAAATGAAAAGAGAATCTAAACTGAAGATTTGTAGTCTTTAAAGTCCCTATTTATGGTATTAACAGAAAATGTATAGACAACAATTAAAGTAAACTTCGACCAAAAAAAAAAAAACAATTAAAGTAAACTAGATTCTATCTCGTGCATCCGCACAGAAACTATTTTAATTTATTAAATTTTGTAATATAATTTATATTTTTGTTTTATATATATAATTTTCTAATGAATGCTAAATATTTTTTTCTGTTTATATATATTTTATTTCTATTAATTTATTTTTTCTAGTATATTTATGACTGCGATTAGAGAAACATTATTTTAAGCTGTCCGATTATATTAATCCAATAAGTACAATAATTATAAAAACGTTATTATACTATGTCCATTTATATTAATCCGAAAAAAATCACAGTTATTAAAATATAATTATAATCCGTTCATTCATATTATTTGTATATTTTTTTATATTTTTTTAAATTTGAATATTAAAAGTTTTAGATTTATTTAATAAAATATCAGTAATATATTATTTTTTATCTTTTTCATTGAAATATTACTTAAATTTTAATATGTAAATTAGATCTAAATTGATATCAGAATTATTATTTTTATAAAAATATAATAATAACTTATTTTATAATTTTTGATAAATAATATAATCTAAATTTAAGGAAATCTATATCAAATCTAAATTTAAATTTTCAAATTTATTTTAAAATATAAATTAAAATATATTATTTTATTAATATTACATTAAATTGATTTGTTTGGTAACATAAATAAGAGTTATCCAAACATAAAATAGTAGAAAACTAATTATAACCTGTTTGGATATAAAATACTCTTTTTTTTAATAGTATAGATATTAAAAAAATAATAATACAAAGAACCGAACTTGTCTAAGACTAAAAGATTAACTTTATAACACTGTTTGCTTCTATTTCTCCAAAGCTACAAACAGATTTTCCCTATTACACATGTCCCAAGTCCCATGCTACATTGCTTAAAAAGCACGAACTCACTCGGATGTCTTTATGCAAGTACACTGTATGGTAAAAGAGTTACAGACACAGAGTCGGAAAAAAAACACCGGGATCAAGGGCCACAGCAATCAAAAGAACATGTCACCTTGACTCATTCCCAGGGAATAAATAGATGGACCATTCCGCTCTTTCAGGCACGTTCATCATTCACGTGGTTTGCTACCTCGGGTTGGCTGTCCAGTGGCATGTACTGTGCCATTATAGCTCTGATCTCTGAGTCCATGTATTGCTGTAAAACCACGGACATAGGAAATTTTAAACAATTTCCTCAAGCAAAGGACATGGCCACCATGTTAAGGTTCAAAAGTTACATAAGAACTATGTTTTGGATATACATCTCAGGCCACAACAAAAAGATTAATCTTTCGCTTTCACCATTAAAAACAAAAAAACAGTAAAAGAGGAGCAACACTTACCCTCAACCTATATTTGTAAACGAGGTATGCCCCACCAGCTGCAAGTCCCAATGATAACATTATAAGCCAAACAGCCGCCCACGCTGATCTCACTTGTGAACCCGTCTTACCTAAATTTCAAACATAAGAACCAATGGGAGTTAAAGAAACAGAGAGGCTACTTGTATGCACAGAGTACTCTTATAAGTGCGTGATGCATGCTCATAGAACAATAGAAAACTCACTGATGCACGTGTCATGGTCTCTCATGTAGAGAAGGTCCCCACTACAAGAGCACTCGTAGCTTCCCCAGGTGTTTTTGCAGCTACATTCCGGGCACTGACAGGCTTTCTTCTCTTTGCACTCATTAATGTCTGGTGAAGGAAGCACGGAAATCCTTAGAACGAGAATTATGAAGTAGCACAACGTACTGTAATGAAAGTTTGACAGAGAGTCTAACCTTCACACTTCTTAACACCGTCTCCTTTGAATCCTGGAGGACACTGGCACTTAACGCTGTCCTTATCCTGAATGCATTACAAGTTGAGAAATAAGCCTCACATTGTATGGTGAAATTATGATCCAAAGTGAGGCACAGTGTAGAAGAAACACTAACCACACAAGCAGAGAACGCATGTCCATCTCTCTCTTCATGCCAACAACCTCCATTGTTAATTGTGCATCTCCCTGGCCCGCTCGCTGCAATGTAACACCAAATAAGTATGAAATGTTTATACCAACAGAATCAGAACAGCAACAAAGGCAAAATAACATTAAAATAAATAAAAAAGAACAAAATACCCATCTCTGACAGGAAAGATGGAATACAAAAGTCAGCTTAGTCCAATCCTATTAGAAAAATAATTTTGCTGTCGAAGTTCTTGTGATCATGCAAGCAACATTACATTTTGAGTATCATTAGAGACACGTGAACGACTAAAACATCTAACAGGGCAAACCCAACATTTACAGTTCCCTGACAATAAATTATTTGATATCTTGGCATACGATAAGACCACGAAATGTCACTCTGTAAGAAACCTTACTCAGGCTGTTACTGAAAAACACAAGACCACTAAAATTATTAAAGAACCCTATTCAAAAGATGACATGACACGAGACTCACGTTCACAATGGTTGTAACCATCCCCTTTGAATTGCACTCCATCAACTCTTGGGCACTCGCATACTTTTCCACGAAAAGTATCCTGCAAACTAAGCAGATTAATAGATATAAAAAAAAAAATTTCCGAACTATCACAGTATACCTTGCAAGCAGTGAGGTTGGCTGATTTATCTTGCCAACAACCGCCATTGTTATCTAGGCATTCGTTTGTTTCCATATCTGTCAATAACAGGAATGCAAATTTCAGATTTCACAATAAGTGGTAAACCTGTGATCACAGTTATAGTTTACATTCCAAACATTTATGTGATGATCTAAAATCAACTTTGAATTATAAACAGGCATATCAGAAAAGGGTGAGCATTTTTTGCATCGGGCAAGGCAAAAATGATACGTAAAAATGATAACCAAACTATTCCGAAAAATAGTTATAATCAGGTACAAGTACGGGCAGGTTTTGGCATCTATAACTAATACCCAAAATATATCCAAGTTTAGATCAGGTTGTGGGTCAGGTATAATGGGTTTTCACATATCTTGGGAAACAAAACTTCGGATACTTAAACCCCCAAACGTACCGCAATGGTTAGATGGGTACGACCTGAAACATACTCTTTGTCTAGACCAACACGTTAAGATTAACTAGCCAACTATATATACCTGTGCTCAGGCATATAGCTGGTTCAGTTGTCTCCTCAAAACCAGAACATAGAGCCTTGAGTACTGCACTCTTCTCCAACTTCCCTGCAAGGAAACATTTATTTAACAAGATAAACCAGAACATAGAGTATTCAAAGCCTTAAGGTAACACTGCAAGACAAACCTCGGTACTGTCTGTTGTTGACAACCAACGTAGGCAATATGGTAACATCACCCCTTGAACCCTTACCAACCTACGTAATAATCCCAAACGGGTTATTCAAAGAAAATAACTGTGAGTCGGAGATGCCCGGAGGAACGTAAGAAAAACATAAGTAATTTACTTGAGCATCTTGTTCTTCCTTTAGAACTGGATTGTCCGAGTCAGCATCAGGATCTCCTATACACTTGTCAAGTTTTCTACTATCGATTCCTGTAAAGACATAGGAAAACTGGATTATTCTCCTGGGAAAAGAAGTTTTATTTTTCGAGTTATAAAAGAATCACTCACCAAGAGACTTGATAACAGAATCAGCACATTCTTTGTTGTATTTCTTCTCCTTCATGGGACATCTGATCTGGAAATCAGTGACATAATCCCACCAGACCCAGGGTTTCCCGGTTTCATTCGCGACCTTGTAAACGCAAAGCTGTCTCAAGTTTTCTACAACCACGTCTTTACCATCGTATCCTGAGCTAAAGTCCTGTTCAGGATCAGGAGCGCAGTATCTTCCCTTGTTGATACACTGAGACTTGCACTGTCTACTCAACGTGAAAGCATGAGGACAATACCAAGTAATGTAATGAGGTCTAAACTGCGTGTAACCGCCTTTCTCAAGAATCTGAGCAGCACCCTTAAAATCCTTCACAAACTCCATCAACATGTCACATTTGACCCCGCACTCGTCATTGCTATTGGTCCACAGTTCATACTCGACACGGTCATCAGGGTGCGGAACAGCTTCTCTCCAGTCAAGATTCAAGTTGACCATATCCCCTCCACTGATTGCTTTCTTCAACTTTTCACCAAAACCTTTCGTCACAAGCGCAGAAGGAATGGTGATATTTTCAATGTACTTCGCCGACGAAACATCCTCTTCTGGTGTGTCCATTGTAATCAAAGGCTCATCAACATTGTCGGCCACAAGAACAGCAGAAGCACCAGCTTTCTGTGCATTCCAGACCTTCAAAGCGAAAAAACAATCTACACAACAGAATATAACCATCCATTAGGCTAAAGTGTATATATGTCTATGCAGAACAACAAGAGTAAGGCAAACTTCTGCACACACATGAACAAATAAAGAAGAAAGGCATTACAACCTAACAACTAAAACCTCTTAAATTGAAACTCGAAATACAAAGAACCGTGTCAAGTAGTCGGAAACCAAAAAATTGCTAATTGAAAAAGAGAAAAGGAAAGTGAGCGCCAGAAATGGATTAAATCGATTCTAGTTCTGACATTGTAGATGAGATGAGTACCTCCACGATCAACCAAGAGGAAGGTAGGTAAAGCACCCGGCTGTGACTTGAAAGAAATTGAGAAATCGCTGAACTCTTTGCACGATTTCTGATTCTCCTTGGGATAAACCACCGTACCAGCCATGCTTCCGCCGTACTGAGGGATCCCGAAGTTGCCAATTGCACTGTCGTGAGTCCCCTTGATGCTGTCCGGCGACGTCACGGACAAGCTGTTCTTCTCCACAACGAATCGAGCCTTGCAGCAAAAGGGGATGGAGAGAAGCAACCATTGAAGAAGAAAACATAGGAGCTGCTTCTGCTTATGTTGCTTCATCTTCGAGATCTCCGCTTCCAACACAACCAACTCAAAAGATTGAACAAAAACACACAAATTGGATCAAAGCGCTAAGAAGCGAGCAGGTCGAATCGGAGCATTGATGATCGTACTCCTCTTTGTCTGAGCTCAATCGTCGAAGGTTTAGAGTTTGGCTAAGTGTTTTCCGAGAAACACAGAGAAAATAAAAATTGGGTGTTTTTTTCAACGTTGTGGATGCGATTCGAAGACTATAAACGACGCTGAGTCAAAACATTTTTTACAGTCAGAAAAATTTCGACCCGACTGCTCCACGTTCACTTTAATATACTACTCCTAAAAAATAACAATAAATGAGATCTAAGTTTAGTTGGTTGAAAAGATGCTTGCTAAGCAGTTGTGACCACTTTACACCATCTGAACTTCTAAGGAGTTTTTAATGATTTTAGGTATTGTAAAATAAATAAAAAATCTAAAAATTCGACTCTTAAATATTTTATATAAAAATTATTTTTTGAAAGTTTTTATTGACGTGTAGCAGTATCTAATTAAATGAAAAATGAAGAGAAAAGCAAATGAACCTCATCACTTCATTTTCGTGTCTTGTGATTGATGTTAAGAAAAACAAATGGATTCCACCACATTATTTAAAAAATATTAAAAATCTCATTAGAAGTTTGGGATAGAGATGCTCTTAAGATGTTCAATTCAAGAATCTCATAACGGATTCTTATTTAATATTTAATTATAAAATTTATATTAAGAATCCTTATTAAAAAAACTTTTATTTTATTTGTTCTAATGGTAGAACTCCATTAGGAGTTCTTAAAACAAAAAAAAAAATTAATAATTTTGTTTTAGTGTAAGTAGAATTTATTTTTTGAATAAAACATACTTGACATAAAAACATTTTAAACATAGATTTTTAATATTCATATCATTTTTTAATCAAAAATAATTTATTATTTTTAATTTTAACTATTATTTATTAAATTTAATATTAATATATAATTTAAACATATGCATAATATAGTTTGTTAAATAGATAATTTTATTTCATAATTAAAAAGAGAAGAAAATAAAAAATAATGATATATAAATAATTTATTTGACTTTATAAATTATAGGGGTTAAATGATTTTTTTTATTTTTTTCTATTATCTAATCAGAAATTAACATGTGGTTAAGAACTCTTGTTAAGCGCCGATTCTTAAGATTTTTATTTTAAAACCTGTTATTAGCTATTTAGATAACTTTGATTTATTTTAAATAAAAAAAATCTAAGAACTCATTTTAAAAACCCCCATTGAACATGCTCTAGTACCTTACATCTCTACTTGCTAAGGGCTTCGAAGCTATAAAATACTAAACTACCGATAATAATGAAGAATATACTATTTAGTTCCTTAGAGTATCTCCAATGGTTTCTTCATTTTTTCCTTCAAAAATGAAGTTTCTTCATTTTTTTCTTCGAAAAGAATATTCCAAGCATATTTTATCTCTACTTTTTTATTAATTGCTAACAAGGTCCTATACTTTTCAGTTTTACAAATTTTTACCTATTTATTTATGTAGACTAATTATTCAACCAAATTATAAATTTTATATAATTAAAAATATAGCATCATTGTAATTATATGCATGTATCAGACAATGTGAAAATCGACGTCCAAGTGGTGCTTCAAATGATGACATTGTGAGTATTTTTTTGTGATAATTAATTGATGATTTCTTAATTCATTTACATTAGTTTTAATAAATTCTTTAATTATGTGTAGTTTAATCAAGCCAATATAATGTTAAAGCAAGATCCAAAATACAAAGCAGGTTGAAAATTTGATCATGTGTGGAGCATTATTAAGAATTTTGAGAAGTTTAAAAATGGTGAAACTCCAGCTAGAAATGTACCAAATCCATGTTGTTTTGGGTATGCATCTTCGGAGTCGGAAAATTCAACCCCAGAATTTGGTACACAAGCGTCTTCAGGTTTGCCTTCATTTTCTTTGAATTTAGATGATGAAGAAGACATTATTGGTGGGTCTGCATCTAAACGACCGATTGGAGTGAGAAAAGCTAAGCTGAAAAGAAAAAGTGATGATCAAACATCACTTGTTATCAACACTTTAGAAGAAGGAAATAGACAACTTGTGGAGCAACTAAAGAAGACCAGCTCCCAAAGACAGCCCCATTTAGATATTCAAAGTAAGAATTATGCTTTGAAAGAATTTAAAGAAGAAAACAAATTTTTGTTTCAAGACATAAATTATATACAAAATGTGAATATTCGTACATATGTTCAAGCTGAACAAGCACGTATTTTACAGAAAAGGGCTGAACAACAACAAAATCAGCAAACTCCTCCTTCAGCATCAACTTCATTTGGACAGTATTTTAATCATCTTAATGGACCTGGAAGTGATTTTCCAAATTATTAAGTTGTTAGTTTATGTTATGTTAAGTTTGTTATTTATAATTCAGTATTAATTATGTATTTTTAATTTTGTTGTGGGTTATGTTCTTGTATTTTCTATATAATATATGTTATTGTATATTTTTATTGTGTTTACTGTATTTTTACTATATAATTTAATTAAAAAAAATAACAGTTTTAAAATTAATTGGATAAAAAACATATAAATTTTGTTTGGGTATAAAACAAAACATGTAGAAAGTTAAAGATACATTTTGTAAATAAAAAAATTCATCTTCATTTTGAAGATGAATTTGAAGCACCATTGGAGAACATTTCTTCATTTTTATCTTCAAAATGAAAGAAAAAGTGAAAAATAAAGGACCATTGGAGATGCTCTAAGAGCATCTCTACTACTGAACATCATAAAGGGGTTCTTAACATTTTTCTTATTAATTCATTTGATTAATTAAAAGAAAGAGAGATAGATAGTACAGTCCATTTTCATCCTGAGAAAGCTATTTTCAAGCTTGTTCGTTTTTGTAACAACCCGACTCTTGGTTAATCAAAGATCGATTATTACCAGTTTTTTAATCTTGATTTAATTAAATTAAACCATCTCTATTTCCTTTTCTTTTTATTTGGACATTTCGTAATTTCTTTTTAAGAGTCCATTAAACTCAGCCCACCTATTAAGCCTATGTATAAATACCTAATTAAATCCCTAAAACCCTCATTAAGCTTTTAAACAAACCCTAGCCCCCTTTTTCCTCTCTCTTTCTCTCTTCTTTGCGCTGAGCTGCTCTCCTCCTCTCTCTCCTGCGTTTTCTTCTTCTTCTTTCTCTCTCCTGGCCGTGTCTCTCTCTCTCTCTCCTTGCTGCGGCCACCACCATCCTCCAAGTCTCTCTCTCGACCGAAGCTCCCTTTCCCAGCCTGGATGTCTGCGCTGCCTCCTTCTCCTTTGTTCGGGATGGGATCTGATTATGATGGATCTCCTCTCAGATCTCATTCTCCTCTGCCTCCTCATCCTGTCTCTCAGCCTTCTAGGCCAAGGTGATGACTTTGTGGCTTCGTCCTCTCTTACATATGCATGATGGACTTTTAAGTAGTCTTTTCTTAGATCGGGCTTAGATCTGCTTGTTGGGGTTGTTAGAATTGTTTAAGACCTGGATCCATGTTGCCTGTTTGGTGATGATTGCTGATTGCTGGTGGAATGTGATAATTAACCTGAATATGGATCTAAACTTATTGGGACCTTAGAAGTATGACTGTGTGTTGTTAACCTGATTAATGCTCCTTTTTGTAACAACTTGGTATCATCGAAAGTGCATCTTGATAATGGAAGGACTTTTAAATAAAAGATTGGATTGAATGATTGGTTGAATTGGATGAATTGTGCATAGTAGATTCTTGGTAGGACCCCTGGCTCCTGGGTTGGGAGCTAGTGTTGTTTGCTGGCCGTTGTCGTGAACACACGGCAGGGGCCACCGCTGGCTGTGGACTAAGCGATCCACCGTTTTGATTCAACAGCCTATCTGTGTGACCGCTGGGTACAGCCTGTCTGGGTGACCACTGGGAACAGCCTGTCTGTGTGACCGCTGGGAACAGCCTGTCTGTGTGACCGCTGGGAACAGCCTGTCTGAGGTGACCGCTGGATACCAGTATGTGTGACTCGCAGAGTAGACCTGACTAATGGGTATGGTAATAGGCCAGCCATTGGATGGGATTATTCTGGTTTGCCTTTCCGGGGAGGCATGGGGGCCCGCGGGACTGCTCACTTGTTACTGGTGTTGACCAGGGATCCGCTGCTTGTGTAGTTGCTTGTAGGGCTTACCCTTGTGTGTTGTGTGATTGACTGCTAGACCTGAACCCTTGATACTTTCTATATATATATATATATATATATATATGTGTTGGTTGTGCCTGTTTTAGGATTAGGCCTCTTGAGATCAATTTATGCTAGTTTGATGATGTGTTTCCTATGGTTTCCTTCTTGTTCTTTCCTCTTAGCCATAGTTCATTTCTAGTTTCCCTTCTGATTTTATTTCTAGCCCCACTTCTGATTTCATTTTTTCCTTTCCTTCTGATCCCATTTCTAATTTCCTTCCTGCTTCATTTCTATTTCCTTCTTGTCATTTTCCTCTCAACCTTTATCTTTTCTGGTGTCGTAGTTCCTTGTGGTTCTCTTCCTAATCCCCTTCTGGTTTCATTCCTGTCTTCCTTCTGATTTTATTCCTAAGTTTATTTCTGAGTTCCCTTCTGATTTCCTTTCTGATCCTTTTCTGATTTCTTTCTGGTTTCATTCTCATTCTTGCTCCCATTTTCTGATCTCATTTCTGACTTCCTTTTTCCTTCTGCGACCAAGCTCCTCTTGTCTCTTGTGCTTTTGTTTCTCTTGTTCTTTAGCCTTCGAAATTCCTTTCAGGAACTTCTCTCTTAGGATTCGGGGACAAATCCTGTGTAAGGGGAATGATTGTAACAACCCGACTCTTGGTTAACCAAAGATCGGTTGTTACCAGTTTCCTAATCTCGGTTTAATTAAATTAAACCATCTCTATTTCCTTTCTTTTTATTTGGACATTTGCTAATTTCTTTTTAAGATCCCATTAAACCCAGCCCACCTATTAAGCCTATGTATAAATACCTAATTAAATCCCTAAAACCCTCATTAAGCTCCTAAACAGACCCTAGCCTCCTTTTTTCCTCTCTCTTTTCCCTAGCCTCCTTTTTCCTCTCTCGTTCTCTCTTCTCTGCTCCGAGCTGCTCTCCTCCTCTCTCTCCTGCGTTTTCTTCTTCTTCTTTCTCTCTC